TTAAGATTAAGTTTACTCACTTTCTGAAAAACCCAAGTGGAATTTTTATTAGAATTGCATTTAATTTGCAGATCAACTTGGAGGAGAATTGACATCTTTACAACTTTATATTATCCCATCTATGAAAATGGAACTTCTCTCTATTTATTCAAATAATATTTAAGGTGTTTATTAGAGGTTTGAGATATCCTTCATAGCTGGGTTGTATATTGTTGGATAAAATGATCCCTAGACACTTCAGAATTTTGTTGTTTTCAAGAATAGCACATTGTTAAATTACAATCATGTGTTGCATAATGATGTTTTGTTCAACGACAGACCACATATACAAAGGTGGTGTAGCCTAGGAGCAATATGCTACTCCGTCTAACCTAGTTTGTAGTAGACTTTACCAACTATGTTTATGAATGTACACTCTATGAGGTTTGCACAATGATGAGATCACCTAACGATGCATTTCCTAGAGCTTATTTCCATTGTTAAGTAATGCATGACTGTATATTTTCTATTTCGTTGTTTCTGGTATGAAGAAATGCTGTTGGATTTTTGGATCCAGTGTCAGGAAACCTTAAAAAATCCCTTACTAATTTAATATTTTGTTGATTTAGTTGGTTTTCTAGGTTGATTATTATACTACCTACAAGTAATGATAGTTGTCTCTCTTCCTTTCCAATCTTTCTATCTTTTATTTCTCTTTATTTGCTATAGCGTTGTCAAAGCCTTAGACAGCAATGGTGATAGTGGGCATCTTTTTCTCATTCAAAATTCTGAAGGCGATGAGTAAAAGTTTTTCCATTAAATAAAATGTTTGCTGTAGCTTTCAGCATACAATGTTATAAAATTAAGCAAGTTCCTTTTGATGTGTATTTTCCAAAGGGGTTTTAAAAAACATAAGCATGTCTTGAGTTTTATCAAAAGCTTTGTTGTAATCAGTTGAGATCATATTATTTTTCTCCTCTGGGCTATTAATTGAACTACATTGATTGAATTTGTAATGTTGACTTACTCTTGCATTTCAAGAATAAACAGCACTCAACCATGAGGCATTTTTAATACTCAGATTTGGTTACGTAATACTGTATTTTATCTTGAAATTTTGCATCTTTAAAAGCAAAATGATGCTATTATTTTTTCCTGTATTGATCATCTCTGATTTTACTATCAATATTACTCTAACTTGTTTAAAATGAGGTGTATGCCATCCTTTGTCTGTTTTCTACAACAACTAGTGTAACATAGAATTAACTATCTCCTCAGATTTTAGCAGAACTCTCCTGAAAAATCATTTGGCTTCAGCAGATGATAATGGGAAGGAGAGATCTTTGACAATCACTTCAATTTATCTCATACTTATTTGGCTTCTTAAGGATGTCTTTTTCTCCTTGCATCAAAAAGATGTCATTTAAACAAATAGCTTTGAGGGTGTTTTTTCACATACATTAACAAATGGTGTGTCACTGTGAGTTGATTAAATTGAGATCGGAGAACAGTGACTCTCCAGTAGGCCCGACCTTGAACCAGGAAAGGGGAAGTGAGACCAAGATTTCTGCGGGTCTCTGTNAGTGATGTAGCTGGTTGCCTTGCCTAAGTATTTGAAGCTGCTGCCGTCTACTGCATAAACATTGGCAAAGGCCCTGACCTCAGGAAGCTCACAACAGCTCTGTACGTGTGTTTTCTTTGAAATATATAGTAAGTTATTATTAAGTATGGTCACCATGCTGTGCAATAGATCTTGAAAACTTACTCCTCTTTTCTAACTGAAACTTTGTACGTTTCGGTCAACATTTTACCATTCCTTTCCTTCCCCCAGGCTCTGATAACCATTATTCTACTCTTTACTTCTGTAATTTTGACTTTTCTAGATTTCTCCTATAAGTGAGATCATGTGATAGTTGTCTTTCTGTGCCTGGCTTATTTTGCTACTATAATGTTCTCCAGTTTCATCCATGTTGTTGCAAATGATGGAATTTCCTTCTTTTTTAAAGTTGTAGTTCAAAATTGCTGAAAGAGTAGATTTTAAATGCTCTCACTAAAACAAAAAAAGTATGGGAGGTGATATGTATGTTAGTTATTTTGATGTAATTACTTCACCCTTTATACATCTATAAAAATCTCGCATTGTGCCCCATAAAAATATATAGTTATTATTTGTCAATTAAAATTAAAATTTTAAAAAAATTTGTTTTCTTCTTTGATGACTCATTTTTTCCTTATGTTTGTTTTATTGGGAAGAAAATGCAGCCATATAATCAACAGCTTACCCGTGAATTTAATAATTTCTTCAGTTGTTTAAATGTGATATTTTCTTTTATTTTCCCTTTGTGAATTGAAGGATAGGGAATGGGACTCTGGCCTTACTGGTGCTGAAACTATGTTTTTGTAGTAGCTCCTTCTTTTTGTTAAAGAAAATTCAGGGGAGGTCATTGTTTTGGACTGAGCTCCTGCACTAGGCCCTATGAGACCAAACCAAACCAGAATGGGGTCACTTGTGCAAGGTGCTAAGTAATCAAACCGAACTTAAAAACAGTCCACTTAAAAAAAAAGAAGAAGAAGAAAAGAAGAGATTAGCAGCAACCAATCAAAGGACCAGTTAGAGGACAAGTTATCTTTTTTTTCAGGAGTAGCAATTGAGAATGGCTGAC